GTCCTCCACAACTAGACTGAAGAACAAAAGGACAGCAACTTGTCTGTTCCCCTTCCCCCAATTCCCCAGCGCTGTTCCCATCCCCAAATTCCCCAGTAAAAATCTTTTAAAAATAAAATTTATACTGAATGGATTCTAAAATGTCTGATCCAACTCTAGTTAAATCTCGTCTACTTTTGATAAAAGGTACTTTTGATAAGATACTTCCAGACTGTCACATGTCACATAAACAGAGTCTTGGGACAGGAATAATAATTTAATTTCTTCCTTTCTAATTACTGATAACCCAGTTGTTATCATTGGTTATATATTTAGCAATAAAGCAAAATACCTGTCACTAAATTAGATACATTAAAATAAATAGCAAAACTAATTTACTGAAATAAATGTTTTTTAATTTAAGTTATTTAGTTGTACAGAGAGAAGAATGATAATTTTTAAAAAGTCAGATCCTAAATATATATGGTGATGGAAGAAGAACTGACTCTGGGTGGTGAACACAAATATAGATGATGTATTACAGATTTGTACACCTGAAATCTATGTAACTTTACTAACAATTGTCACCCCAATAAACTTTAATTAAGTAAATTAATTAAATAAAATAAAATGTCACTCCAGAAAATCATTTAAAAAAAAAAATTCAGATCCTTGGTGAGAAAATGTCTTTAACCCTTTTTCTATTATTGTATAGATGAATTTTAAGTATTATTAGCTACTCATAAATGCTTACCCTTCCATAGAAACTATTTTAAAATATGTTAAAAATCAGTTTTGCTTCCTTCAATGTGACATTTTTATTTCAGGTTAAAAGTCTACATTCGCTCTCAAACCGGGGTCCAAATTTTAATGAAGGTCGAACATATGCAGCAAAATTTAGTAAGGTAAAATTGCTTCCCTCCCATTTCTTAATTCTGCAATATAATTAAGTAGCTTGATTAGTTTAAGTAACTAGTTATTATGCTCATTATCTGGCTATTAACAAAGCCTAGGCTTTTAAAAATGACTTTCACATTAAAATTTTAAAATAGTCATGCTTATAGGATAAATTCAGTTGAAAAATCATCCTGGTTAGAATATTTGTAAATAACATCGTGTACAACTAAAAGATTTCTAAGTTTAAAGATTAAAATTGCATTTTAATTTATTTCAAGAAATATTCTCTGAAACAGAGTTCTAGTTATTCCAGAGTTCCAGTGTTCAAGTTGTTGTCTTTGGAAATACACAAATTCATGTGACCAACTGATCATTGCATATATTGCAGTGGATAGAATTGTGAAGGGAGACAGGTTCTAACAAACTATATGATTTGAGAAAGTTCTTAACAGCACTGGGCTCTGTTCCTTCATTAATGGAATGATGAAGCTGACTACACCAAACCATCTCTGAGAGTCCTTGCAAAGTTCGTTCAAGGGCCAGTTATGTGTCAGCACACTTCGGAATTACAAAACACTGATCTTTTAAGACCTGTAATGCTTTTCCCATTTCTACTGTTTAACTAAACTACTAGGTCCAATTTAGATCTGGTTGATACTGTCTATAATTTGATTTGCTAGTACGGCTTAGTTCTAATTTGTTGTAAGATTATCATGAGAGATTCAAGTAATTCATTTAGTGTATCATAAGTGCATGCTTTTTTTTATGGTATATAGTAGTTTAATTGCAGTTTTAGTGTACATAAACTAATGATGCATGTTATCAATTAAATATGATATTTTCATCAGCATGATTCTCAACCCAGAGATTCTCATTTCTCCTTTGGGATGTCCCCTTCTGTCACTTCCTGCTGGCCATTAGCCCTTCGACAGCAAAGCAGGATGGGAAGGGGACAGCCTCAGTTGTCATCTTTTCTGGCTTGTTCATTTTCCCATAAGTGCTTGCTTTTGTTACTGCTGTTACTATTATTGTTACTACTACTACTACAGATAAATGGATTCTTACAAAAGGTCTACACATAAGATCATAAGACTTATAGATAAGAATGGACCTAAACACCAAGTCTTGACCACTTTCTTACCAACATATCTCAGATATTCCCAGCTTTATGTCATGGATCATGGTTCATTGATGAAAAACTGAAATTTTCTATCACGTAATCCTTTCCATAGACTTCTTAATTCAATATATTTACATACAGTTAATGCTTTAACTTCCCTCATTTCCCCAAAAGATTTGGGGTCCCAAATAAGAGAATAGAAAATTCTATGGTTTCTGCGAAGATAGTTATCCAGAGTTATAACATCCATATTAACCATATTCAGTTATTTTTGAAATTAGTAATCACTTATGTAATTAATGAGAAATACTGATGTAAAAGGTTTATTTTTTTTTGTTTAACAAAATCATCCTAAAGTGAATTCTGTAAAAGTCATGTTCAAACAAAACAATTTGCATTGCTCCCTTGGAATTTACTTCCGGTCAGTCATTATTTTATTCTTCTTTTATTATCTGTGTTTTCTCTTCCAAATTTAGTTCCTTTCTTAACATGCACCATATTTTATTTAGTTAGTTCATGTAAATATTAATCATGTTTCATACCCGTGGTGCATACTTAATGAGTATACTGTGGCTTCAGTCTCATAAGCCTGCTAAGAGAACACATCTGAGGGTTTTTATGAAAAGTGAAATTGCTTTTTGGATGTCATCTCACTTGGCTTCTCCTGACAACCTGGTGATATGTCCAACCATTCTAACACTTCAGCCCCATTCTGAACTCTTGCCAACTCCTTGTCATAGGCTGCTGGTGTGGGGATAATATGTAAATGGCTCCAGAAGGACTGGAAGGGAAACAGTAAAAGTACTATCCATCTCTGTTCAGGAAATACTCATTCTTAAATGCAGTAGGAGAATAAAACTGATTGCCTCATCATTTCCTTTGGATGTGCTTAACTGACCTTCAATAATTACAAATAGTAGCCACTGGCTACTGTTTTAATGGCTGCATGAATGGAATTATTTATTTTGTTTTTTAAATTAATAAGTATGTATTTGAAATACCAGATTGTTTTTATAGGATTAAATAAAAATATTTATTTGGATGAGTTTGACATCAACTTGACTACGGTAACCTGATTTACCTAATCTGTTAACCAGATAATTTAACTTCTTTACAAAAGTTAAGGAAAGCAACATATCATTTTGGTACACCTGCTAAAACAAAAGTTTTTGGTTTTGATTTGTTAGTTTTTTGTTTGTTTTGTTTCTATTTTTATTTCCTCCATTATCTGAAAGGGAAGGTTTTTTTTATATTTTCATTTAAGTCAAAGCAAATTGGGCTGTGTCCAATGAAAATGTGACTCTGGCAAAATATTCTCATCTTCCAAATTCAAGGAAACCAAAATTTTATGTGATAAAAAGTAAATGCAAGATACTGAGTCTTTTAAAGCTTACAATATAGGACAGACTGCTTGGGCCCAGGTAGCATTCATTTTAACTTGGAAGTGTGCTATAAATTTATGAAGAGGCAAAGTGGGTGGAGATCTCAGTTTGCCCTAGCAGACCAGGATTTTCTTAGGAGTGTGGCAGAAACACATGACATGACCCAGAGAGAGTGGTTGGGAATACCATTTCATGAAGTCAGGATACATAAAGCCCAGAACACAGGAGGATAGCTGTCAGATTGGTATATTTTATTTTAACAGAGCCCAACTGGGTAAACCTGAACCAAAAGAAGGTCAAAGAAATGCACTGAAATGAAAGTCAGATGACCTAATTCTAGTTACTTCTCTATGCTTCATTTTCCTTAGGTTCTTTACTTTCTCTTATTTTATAAACTTCCTTCTTTAGGAACCCAAAGAGGACCAAAGTTGGGCCTTGGGTTAATCTTCTTTATTCCCAAAGGGGAGGGAATGATAGATTAATAAAGTAAAAGGTGAGTGGTGGTAATTTTAAGCAATACCTAGAATAGGTTGTTTTGATACTAAATCTGAGCCAGAGTGAGTAACATGAAATGTACTTTGACTTTACCTTATCTGTGTAGAATAACTTGTCCTTCAGATTTCCCCATTTGAGTTGTTTACTTGAACTCACTGTGACATGAAAATACCTGTACCACCAAAGAAGAGGAAGTGGAAGATTATAACCTAGGTCCAGGAATTTGGGATTTAAAAAGTGCCACCCTATTTAACTTGGAGTAGTGATGGCCATCACTTTAAGGCAATAATGTCAGAAACTCGGATTGAGGTACCTTTTGTCCTGAATGTGGACCTAACTTAGAGTAAGGTACACCCGTATAATTCTGATTAAGTCACCCTCAAGATGCAGTTAACCTGATTTCTACAAAACTTGCCAGTGATGCAATATTTTCTAAACATGAATAATGAAATTAGATATTATGGGAGTATATTTAGAAATAGATTTTTATTAAATTTTTTTAATTAAATATTTTTAAACCACACTGTTCTCCAGATAACACATTCGTAGATAGGCTAGGATAAGCATTTACATTTGATTGTGTACTTAATTACAGTTGTACTGTTAAAGGAAAGTACATTCAGAGAACATCTAAGTAAGATTATTATAGGTTATAAAATGTTAGGTTTCTAATTTAAGATAAGCATGCTAAATAGGAGGATTTTATTATTTCCTGAAAAGTGCTTAGAAGGCAGAAACATGTAGTTTCCTTGTGGCTATTTGATTTTTAAATGTATTCTACGATTTACAGTATTCCAGTAACTTCAGAGTTGTCTTTTTACCAAATACTTGATGTTGCCAATTTCCACTGGTTGTTTTCCATTCTTTGGGGGTTTATTACAGTTGTCTCACGATATACCTGATCAGCTAGAGAAATCTCAAATGTTTCCCAGGATTTAGCTTTGCCGTGTACTATTTTTATTTTTAGGTTTAGGTGATTATGAACACATGTCTAACCTTAAAAAATTTGCTGCTGATGTATTTGGGAGTTTTCTTTCCACAATACACAGGGTTTGAAATTGTGTCTTCTTATAAAAGGTAATATGGCTTCTTAAGTAAAATCATTTAGTCATTTACCAAACACTTAGTGAATACCCACTATGGTTCAGGTACTGTTCTAGACATTGGGGTGACATCAGTAAGGAAAACCATTTCTGCCTCTGTGGATCTCACATGCTGGACGGAAGAGAAGTCATATAAGGTGCTTGTGTTAGCAAAGCCGCACTTGCCCTCTTGCCACATCATTTCATACCAGTTTTCTATTCTCAGAAAGTAAATTAATGGTTTTGAAGCAGAAAAGCCTACATTGGTGATGCCAAGCACTATCGAAGGCAACCATCGTATTGCTGCTAACTTAAGTTATTACTGACTGATGCATTTGAAATACTCTCAGTTTTGATACTGTCCACTCATTTGTAATTCCCAAATCTATTAAATTTTAGGTCTCTATTATACTTTTACTTTTTAGTGGAATTGTTTATTTTCATAAAGAAATACAGATACATTTTCTATTCTTCATGTTTACTTTGCTGCTTTGATGTTATAGAAGATCCTGGTTTTGATAGGATGTGGTTTAAGCTTTTATGGAATGATTCTTTTCAAAATTACTCAGAAACCATTAATTAAATACATTTATCTATTTTTAAAATTATTTTTCTCAGTTACAGTTGGCATGCAATATTATTTTATATTAGTTTCAGGTGTACAGCATAGTGGTTAGGCATTTATATAATTTATGCAGTGATCCCCTCAATTAGCCTAGTACCCACCTGGTACTATACATAGTTGTTGCAACATTATTGACTATGTTCTCTATGCTGTATTTTACATCCCCGTAACTATTTGGTAACTACCAATTTGTATTTCTTAATCACTTCACCTTTTCCACCCAGCTCTGTTCCCTCCCTTCTGGGAATCATCAGTTTGTTCTCTGTATCTATACCATGTTGTTGCAGATGGTAACATTTCATTC